TTCCATTCTGTTAAACTGTCCTAACAAGATTTTCCAAAAGTATCGGGTTACATCAAATATCAGCAGTTATTAACACGATGCCTAACATTATGTAAGCGTTGTTTTTGGCGAAACGCTCTCCAAAATAGCATATCTGTATATGCTGCCAATAAACTTCAAAGGAAAAATGAGAAAGGAGCTCCAAACTACCAAGAAATATTTTACGAGTTTCGTACTGTGTCAAATGGCAAATAAGGGCAACAAGAAGCAATAAAAAAGAAATCAGTAAATACATCACACATTTTAAAAATGCGGTGATTTGAGCCACTCGTCAAGCTGCGAACCAATATCCCTTGGTGCCTTATTAGCAACAGGCCACCCTAGCGCTGCCGCTTCTGCAAATGCAAATTTAGTACATGTTCTCTGCCAATTTTCATGAAGACAGTGTTGACCAGAGACCAGTATTCTATCACAAAAACGAGCAGCAAGGCACACCTTACGACTTCAAATCACACATACACACACATACACATACACACACACACACTCACACACACACACATATACACACATACAAACACACACACACATACAAGTAGGGTCCCATTAATCAACGTTTTGCAGTGCTATTGCAACGCAAAACGCGAAGAAAAACTTGTTAGCTGCAGTGGTCACCGTAAGAATGAAGATTACGATGACGTAATAAAGCATCAAAGTGAAAAAAAAAAACAAACCTGTAAAACTGATCGGTTTTAACCCAGAGGCGCCAGGAGGTTCCTGGTCCGATGCTCGTTTTTCCCCCAAAGATGCAGCACAAGCGTCACTGGTCAGATGTGGATTAACAGGCATCGAAATTTCATTCTCAGCCCTTCAATTAGTTGTCATTAGTAGGAAACCAGTCACAGTTAGAACGAAAATTATAGTGTAAGAGTGAAAGAGGGGGCGGTTTTTACCTGTTTCTAATTCTCCCATTTCTGTCTTCATACATGTTGCCATTCGGACGTGAACCAACATCGTTATGCAAAGAATTTGACGAAATCGGCCCAAATAATGAGCCTCCTTGGCTGTTTTGTTTCTGCCGCCATGGCGCGGTGTTTTCGGAAGCACAGGGGGTCGAAATACCAAAACATTTTCCGCCGGGAGTCTCCTGTTTTTGCATGCGGCGCATCTCCAATCTTTTTTCGGTAAAGAAAGGTGCGGTCTTCCTAGTTTCCGGGACATTTGGTTGCTCTCGAGTTGAAGCGTGTCTTTCGGACCATCCAGAAACGGCAGGTAAGGCGCTAGTGGCATCGAAATGCTGACGACGCGGAAGGACGTCAGTTTTTTGAAAATTTCCAAATCGAGTGGCCGAGGGTCGACACTCTTGCTTAGTCTCCTCGATCCTCTTCATGTCTGAATTAATCCGACAAGCACCAGAAATTGAGGATGGCGCCTCATATCGCCATGCAGCCCGCCTTGATGGATCCGGGAGCGCAGTATTGCTGAACAAGTCATGATCACTGTCACCGTTATTATTCAGTTCTGTACTGATAAATGTCTGATCATCACTGCGTGATGGCAAATAATTGCGTTCACTTGCTGTAGCACTGGCAATCCTTGTGGTGCTCGGAGGCAAGTAACTACTCGAAAGATTGCTTCTACCAGAAGGATTAACAAACTTCGGCCTCGCAATCAACGGAGTAATTGAAGTGTTGGAAGTGGGCTGCTTAGAAGTCGATTCCAACGGGGTAACTTGATTCTCTTTCCACGTATTATTACTGACATGTGGATTGCGTGAATGAAATTCCCTCTCGAAGCCCCGGTCCTGCTCATCCAAACGCTGATCTTGCAACCACTTCCGGACTCGCTCTTCCTGCACATCTGTTATACTTGTTGACTCGTCCTCCTCCTCCTCTTCCTTTTCACTGAACTGATCCCTGCCGACGGTCGGTTTACGTATTGGTGGTTTATGGAAAGACGTCGAATATGGTTTGAAGCTCTGATGGTGCTCAGAAGCTATCGGATTTTTTGATGACAATTCCAGCTGCTTTTCTGCTACTGCACCATTTTTTAGCTGAGCTGAGGACTTCACATGCGATCTCTGTGACCCGCATTCTTCCCTGAAACAAACAAACTGTTACCAAAAAAGATGTATACTGGGAAACTACAAGATGGGTCGATTCAACTGAGCAAGAGGAGAAGAAACGTTTCTAAACTGTGTAGACAGCGTGAATCATCGTAAGAGGGAAATGAGTGCTGTCCAAAACCACTGTTGACGCGCCCAGAGAGGGGGAGAGCGGGGAGTGCGATTATGCGTTTTTACAGCATTCCGTGTTGTAATCAGATAGCTCAGAAAACCAGTAGCTAAATTTGTGACATGCTGGTCTCCGCAGTTTGGGAAGTTAGTTTTGCGACTACGTTGTACCTGGACAGGGAATATTTCGTTAAAATTTCAACATTCCAACTTCTTTGGTCCCCGAGTTAGCAATTTTCCAAGAAATTTCATGGATCTGTACGTGAGAACCACGCATATCATCAGCTGAATTTAAAATCTTTAAGTTATACATTAGCTGAGAACATCCCCTTAAAATTTCAGCCTCCCAACATTCTCGGCTGCCGACTCAGCCTCCGAAAACGTCTTACCTCATTCCTGCTTCCTTTCCATATTTTTTTATGCTCTGTACCTTACACGCCTCCCATACTTTGGCATCCATGGTCAGCCCGGATGCTACAACCGGCTTACCAATTTTCTTGCCAAAAGTTTTCATGGAGCTGTACGAGAGAACTATACAATCCTGTGCTGAATTTGATACCTTTAAATTATAAATAGGTTGAGAACATTTCCTTAAAATTTCAGCGTCCCAGCTTGGTTCCTGATTTTCTCGCCAGAACTTTCACGTGCTCAGATATGCGTGAAGGCTGGTAGCGCAGTCCTGGGGTGGCATTTGGCCAGGAAGACCACTGGCAAAATTTTAGCACCGGAACCTGCTTGAGCTGGAATGCCCCTAAACACACACACACACACGCACACACGCACACACACACAAACACTGGGTCATCGCAATATGCGTTTTTACCCTCTGTTGCAGCGCTCTAGCACTGCATGGTGAAAAGCATAACCCAGCTGGAACGCACCAGGCGGGTCGGTGCGATTATGCGTTTTTGCACTTTTCGTGCCGTAACAGGATCACAAGGAATCAAAGTAGCTAACCCTGTAAAATACTGGCCCTCGAAGTTCGGGAAATTAATTGTGTAACTAACTATGTGGTATGTCCGTTGTGGGTGTCGACTTCAGTGACCCGAGAAATGGAAAGTTGCTGGTCCGCAAAAAAAGGCCACACAAGAAGAGCCGCACATGAGCAGGAAACATTCCCTCAAAATTAAAGCCTTCAGCTTTTCCCCTTCCTGAGTTAGCAGTTTTCCCATCAAAATTTTCACGTGTCCGTACATGAGTACTGGAGGTTTTAAGGAACTGAATTTAAAATCTTTTGGTCATACATGAGTAGGGAACATTACCCTACAGTTTCAGCTTTGTAGCTTTTCCCGTTTCCGGGTTAGTAATTTTCGCGCCAAAATTTCCACGCGCTCGTGCGTGGGTTCGGGCGCTTCTAAACACCTGATTTTGCTCGTACACGAGTAGGGAACATTCCTTTAAAGTTCCAGCTTTCTAGGTTTTCCCATTTCCGGGTTAGTAATTTTCGCGCCAAAATTTCCACGCGCTCGTATGTGGGTCAGGCGCTTCTAAACACCTGATTTTGTTCGTAAATGAGCTTTTCCCGTTCTCGGATTAGTGATTTTCGCGCCAAAATTTTCACGTGTCCACATGCCAGCCCCTGGCGGTCCTAAGGAGATGAATTTGAAAACTTTGGTCGTGCATGAGAATGGAGCATCCTCCAAAGTTTCAACTTTCTAGCTTTTCTCATTCTCGAGTTATGAATTTTCCCGCCATAATTTTCATGTGCTCGTGCGTAAGCCCCCGGCACTCCTGGGCAGCCGAATTTCAAATCTTTTTGTCATACATGAGTAGGGAACATTTTCCCAAGATTTCAGCTTTCTAGCTTTTCTCGCTCCCGAGTTGACGATTTTCGAGCCAAAACTTTCAAGTGCTCATACGCGGGGCCCAGACGTGCGTGAGGGTTGAAACCGCGGTCCTGGGGTGGCACCTGACTAGGGAACACACTGGCAAAATTTTAGCTTCAAAGCTTGCGTGGTTAGCGAGTTGAAATACCCAGATAGACGAACGCACACAAACACACACACATACAAACACACACACAACAAACAAACACACACAAACACACACACACAAACACACACACAAACACACACACAGACACACACACAAACACACACACAACAAACACACACACACAAACACACACAGGGTCGTCGCAACATGCGTTTTTGCTGCTTGTTGCAGCGCTCTAGCGCTGTACGGCAAAAACGCACAAAAATTCAGACCATATCCAAATACCGTACAAATACTGCATATCAGCACTGACCATAAGAAAGGTCAATAGAGGTCAGCGCGCCGCAACCGCAGCGCAGTTGTATGGTTGCGCTGCGGATGCTGTGCGGTCGTCAGTTTCACTGCACCAGCATTTGTGGGTTACGTTTTTGGTGATCTAGACTGGGGGAGCACGGGAGGGGAGGAAGAGTTGGTTAGAAGGTGGAGTAACAGAGATGGCGAAGGGGGACATGTCGGAGTTTCGGGAAAGGACGATAGAACCGTTAGAATTTGAATGCATGCTAAAGATTGGCAGAAGAGGTGAGAAAGGGGAAGATAAGCATTTTCCAATCTTTTTTAGTCATTTCAGAAAATATTTTTCTGACTCAGATAATATACAGAGTGCGGGTATTGTAGGGTTCGAAGATATCTCTACACCACAGTATGCTCCCCCAACCTATACAATATATAAGGCAGAAGGATGCTTCCTATATTTACAGAGTTCGTGAATATGTAGCGTAAATAGACGAAAATATCTATAATATACGTATATGAAACTTTTTGACGATTATCATTAAATTTTTGTTTTAGCAATCCATTGCGATCATCAAATCCACCCAATAAATTGGTTCCGTCTGGAAAAAATTCGGGAATGTCTCCTGCATCGAACGATACAATCGACACAACTGAATTATTCCTCCCGGAAACACCAAGAATTGTGAAGCCATGGCAAGAAGAAGTCACCACGGATTTCCGTTCTCAGATAATTGCCGAATATGTGAAAAAGGACTGCCCGGTAATTGATTCAACAAAACTGGCAGAAATTAAAATATTTGCCAGACAAGCACGGGAAATGGAACGAGCAATGTTTGAACATGCCAATGATCGAGTATGGGCATTTTGTGTTTCGCACTGTTGCTCTTCTCTCATCACAGCTCTTAGCTGTCGAAGTGAGCAAAAAAGTGCAAAGTGACCTAACATTTAGTTCAGGGATCTCAAATTTTTGCGCTGAAACGCAGAAGTTAAGAAAAGTAGTAACACAAATGCACTGGAAAGCGAAAAAAAAGTGGATCCAGAACCAATGAATTTGGAAAACTTGAAAGAAAGAACGATTTTAGGAACTGCCGATTTTTGGAAACTACATTTTTATGCGTTTTTTGCAGTAATGCAATGCAAAAAACGCATATTGACGAGGGGTTGTCTGTGT